ACGACTTATCATCCTCAGACTGACGGGCAGTCCGAGCGTACTATTCAAATCCTCGAGGATATGCTTCGGGGTTGTGTCCTGGGCTTCAGTGGGACGTGGGAGAGGCACTTGCCATTGGTAGAGTTTGCCTACAACTTCTTATCTGTGGATATTGTTGTTATACATATCTGTTGTAGAGTGTGGATATAGCTTATTTGCTTATCTGAGAATGTGGATATTGTTGTTGTACATATCTGTTGAGAATGTGGGTAGTGCTTATATGCCTATCTGTTGAAAAAGGGAAAATGAAAAGTAATTTGGACTCATAAGTCGTATGACATAAATATGTGATTTATGTGATTGTATCAGTGTTGGCCATCTATCAATTGCTAATCTTTTAGACATTGTTCATGGCTGGTTTAGTATATTTCTACTGGGCTGTGGCTCACCCTATATGGGAATATCATTTTCAAGTACAGAAAGTATGCCACCTCCAAGGACATAGCTTGGGAGGCTAGAGGCGGACATACTTTTGTCGTATTACTTTTGATGTATTACATGTAAATTCAAGCCAAGGGCTTAATGTGTATGAGTTAGTACTCTTTTTGTTGTAACCAAGTGTTTACTTGGAAAGTTGTAAGCCCGCAGGGCATCTGTTTTGTTGTTAACATGTAACATCTTTTGTAAAGAACATTCTGATGAATGAAATATAATACTTTTCTTATTTTTATGGATTTATGAATGATTGATTCATACTGTATTTCGAGGGTGTTACATATAAACACTAATAAATATATCGATTAAGACATAAAATTTCCATATAAATTTCATCAGTAGACATAGGTTAACATAAAATTTTATATGGTTGATATGCGTTTGTTGATACATTTGTAATTGTTTGTAGCATTGTTATAATCTATCAATTAGGAAACGAGCTTATCTCATCAATGTCCATTAGTTGATTTGCATGAAAGACAAGAAGAAAATATTAAATTACATCTATTAGGTGACTCACCGACAACAACTCTTATCTATATCTATATCTATATATTATATAAGGAAAATGAGGTTTCTAACTCACAAGTCTTGTGAGAGCTCCAATATCTCATTCTTAATTTCTTAATTTTTTTATTTAAAAAAAAAAACACAAACTCATCACTTATTGACTTCTCTCAAGCCTTTTTGACTTCTCCCATACACATCCTTTTCAATTTCTTCCATACCTATTTAATTATTTTGGAAATAATAATTATCCCTTTTTTTCAACTTCTTCCACACCTATTTAATTATTTTGGAAATAATAATTATCTCTTAATTTATGGATTTCAAATGGAAAGATAACAAAAAATTTTCAAAATCTCTCCATTCTAATTTCTTTCATTGATTTCTAAAAGAAAATATTAACACTGCAGAGGAGAAGAACGAGTAGAGAGTGAGAAAAAAACTAGGGCTAGGGAACTGGGGAAGTGAGAAGAACCAGGGAGGGTCGTTGACCGTCGCAAGGGCAGTTTGCCGGAAACAATGAATCAAATGGATGGAGATTAAGCCATGACAATGCAGAGAATATGGGGTAGAGACGAACTGTGGAACGAGAAAATGAAAGAGTGAGTTTTTCTTGACCGGTTATAACCGGTTGCCATTTTATTTTTGGATGGTCAAGATCCTAGATTCAAGTAATGTTAGAGATACTAAAACTTCAATTAAAATTTTTATCTCACATGAGTGAGATATTTAATAAAAATTTTGATAAAATTTTTAAAATCTCTAATAGTTTAGTCCAAATTTTTATCTAAAGGCTCAAAATCGTTTTTGTGTACGGTATGCAAATAAATACCACTTTTACGTACCATAGTCGGACTCCACAAGAAGACTGAGCGTAGAAGCACTAACATGCAACCGGGCCAAAACCAGACATTTTGCAGGCTAGACTATTGCGACAGTGGCTTGGCTCCATACCTTAGCCAAAAGTAAAGTGGGAACACTTGTATAACTGATGGGAACAAGAAAAAAATGGTAAATAAATCTCCTGTGCTCGATTGTTGGAGCCATAGCAGTTCTCAATTAATTGTTAAACATCTTTTGTGTTTGGCTTATGTGTAAGACTAAATTAATTATTTAGTTATTATGTTGATCCACATAATATGGTAATATAAATTAGAGATTTGGCAGATTATGATTCAATATTTTTTATTACAATTAATTGGTGAATCAAGAAGAGTGTTTTTTAAGTATCCTATTTTGATGGGAAAGTGAAATCATTATTGAATAAGGAAATTTGTCATCTCTCTACCTATAAAAGGACATTCAAACTACCATCAAATTATTCTGAATATAATGTATTCTAAAGAGGGTCAAAAGAAAGAAACATTTTTTTCACTAATATTAAGATATTAGGTTTATGTTCAATCAATTATGAATCACTCGAAAGTTTCACATAACTAATTCGGATATGTTATTTATTTTTCACATTATGTTATTAATTATGAAAATCATAATAAACAATTTTAGATTATGGAAGTTATTATATAAATAACACCATAAAATTATTTACATTATATTGAATGCTTTCAACATGGATTTGCACTAGTTGAGAACTTGAGAGAATGAAATTCAACAAATGAACTACTTTTATTCAGTAGTCCCTTATATGAACCCCAATTTTTCTTAGCCAAATGCAAAATTGTTTGATTATTTATGTCCCCTAAACAAACATGTATTATTAATTGAATAATACTATATGCAATAATTAGTGTACCAATTGATGATGTCGCATTATTTAAGAAATTTTAGTATTTATAATTTGTATAATGAGTGTGATCAATAATAATGTCATAACTAATGTTGGTACATTAATTAGTACACTAAATAGTACATGTAGTACCACTACTATTATTTAAGCTATCATTCACTCAACTACGCCATGAATATTTCACCATTGAATCAACTAGTATACTTCAAGATTGTTAAGATTACGATCCGATCGTATGATCTAATTAATATACGTAAATCGATCCAACTCGCATTTTCGATTGCACTTATAAGATTGGCACATGATCGTTATGGGATCATACAAGATTTTTACGAGATCACGACTCTAGCCAATTCTGTTTAAGATGGTATTTACTATTTTGCTAGTTTTAAAGTCAAAATACGTCTTCTGAGGCGTCCGTTTGGCAATTCAATCTTTTAAAAAATCACTAAAAAATATATATATATAAAAAAAAAGCATCTTATATCAAAAATCAAAGATTCTTTTTATCTTTACTTTATGCACATCTTTTTATAAAAAGTCAAAAAATATTCCAAACATACTAATATTTTTTACCTCATATTTTAGAAAAAAAAAATTAAAAAATTACTAAAATGTATCTTTCCAAACAAGGAAGGTGAGAAAAAAAATTGGAGTTTGTTTGGTTTGTATTTCAAGATACAATTTTTGAGAAAAATTTTTAAAATTTTGTTGGTTCAAATTTTTTGAAAAAAATTTTCAAAATCACTTACTCTCTCCTACACATCAATCAATCATTTTTTCTCTCTCCTCTGTCTTCTCTCATTCTCAATCACTTTGGGTGTGTTTGGTTTGTGTTTTAAGATAATTTTAAAAATAAAAAAAAAATTAGAGAGAGAGTTTAGAAATTTTTTTAGTTTGTTTGATTGTATATTTGGAAAGTAGTTTTAAAGTTTAGAATGATTTCATATTTTGTTATAGTTGAGTAGATGTGTGTGAAAAAAATTGATTGATAAGGAGAGAGGAGAGAAAAAAAGTGAGATTGATGGGCAAAACAAATTGGGGAAATAGAGATTGGACCTTAAAATTCAGATTTTCTGGAACTGGAACGAGGTACTCTTCTTCTTCTTCTCTCTATTCGAATTCGATTCTGCATTTTTTTCTTCTTCCGACTTCTTTTTTCCTCCTCGTCCTCTTATCTCTGTTCGACTGTGTTCTATGTTCTTTTTTGTTTTGCTTTGTTTTTGTTTTTTGTTTTTGTGTTTTTTTTACTTTTTCTTCTTCATTTTTTTTTCTGCTTCTTCCTCCTCTTCTTCATGTTTCTGCTTCCCTCTTATGTGATTTTCTGTGTTCTGTTTTTTTTTTTTTTCCTTCTCTACTACTTTAGTTCTTTTTCCCTAAACTTGTGCTGAAAAAATAGTTCTTTTAACCAAAAAAAATTCAGCACAACTTGATACAAAAACAGTAATTTTAACCTTTTTTTTTTTTGTGAGTTGGATGACACCGTGGGTGATGATGATGATTGTGGTGATGACATTAATGTTGATTGCGGCAATGATGATATTTTCAGCGACAATGATGATTTATTTTAGTCTTTTACTTGTTCTTCCCTTGTTTAGTTCGTCTTCTTTTCATTAAGAAACAATGAGAACGGTGTGCAAGTGTTGGTATTTTCTTTTATTATGTTTTTAATGTTTGAATGATACGTTGAATTGATATATTTCTTTATTAAGAAAAGATCTAGAATAATAATTTAAATTCCTTATAAGTGAGAATGCAAGGATTTGAACCTTGATCTACTCATACTAAGCTCAAGTAATTATGAAGCAAGTATGAGAGCTCTACCATTTGAGCTACATTCCCATGTTTTTTGGGGTCATTCTATATACATTTTGATAGTATTACATATAAAAATTATTATTATTATTATTATTATTATTATCCTCAATCCGATCCGGCAGACCCCCAAAACAATTCTATGTAGGATCCCAATCTTAACAACCTTACACTTCTCTTATAAGAACTATTTCATCTTTTGATGGATTGTTCTGTTGTCAAAATATGGATAGCTATGCTTAATCAAATATGAGATTCTTTTATTAGATCTATTTCATCTTCGGGTTTCTTGTTCATGTTGTCGACTATGAAAATGTGTGCTTAATCACATGATTATCTAAATCCAGTGATATTTATAACCAAAAAAACAAAAAAAAGAAGAGGATTATCTAAATCCAGTGATTCAAATTCACATACAGGTTGCTAGTATAATTTTGTCATTTGCATTTTCACATTAGACACATTATTTTGTAGTGTTTGTGTATATCTATGCATTCATCTATGTCACAAGGCTTTTTTTTTCCTTGTTAAGTGAGAATTTTGTAGAAAATTTTAGTACATTGCCGCAACATAATGAAACTAAGAAGCTTTAATGTGAGCATCATGTGTAGAGCTCTACGTCCAAGTTCTATTTGAAGAAGCTTACATTATGTTACTTTACTGAAGTGACTTATAAATGTTTCATAAATCTTATTGTGATGCTTTTATCTTCAATTCTTTCCATCTTGCTATCATGAAATTAGTATGTTTTATTTGGTGAGCTTGATTGGTATTTCTACTTCTTCAGATACGATGGTCGCTCAATGGTTGACATGGATTTCACATCTTTGGGTTCAACTAGTCTGTTCAGATACTCTTCATAAGGAGGGGTTTATTGGACTTCTTCCCGATGAAATCATCATTGATATCCTCAGTAGACTCCCAACTAATTGTGTTTTAGAATGTCGAAGGGTGTATAAGAAGTGGTTGGCATTAACTTCAATACCATATTTTGCATCTAAAAGAGCTGCAAAACGAGATGATGTATGTGTGTTCTACCATCCACTGACAATGGAATCTCGAGTTCTTCAAGTGCTCCAAAAAGCTAATTGTTTTCAATATAACATACTTACCATTGGGGATAAGTTGTGGAGAAAACTTGATTTGGTCTCTTACCGGCCAAAGTGTTTTGCAACCCCAACAATTGTAAAAAGAGATTTGTATTGGATGGTTAAACACACATATGAAAATGAATACAACGTTCCTCCTTGCAACAACTCCATCATGAGGTTTAACATGGGCACTGAACAATTTTGCTCCATGCCTCATCCAGGAAAGGAATGTCACTCACGACCAATGCATGAAAAGATGCGGCTCTTAAAGTTGGGAGTGAAATTATGTTTTGGTTATTTGGATGCAAGATTAATTGATATATGGCGATTGGAGGATGTTAAAAATTGGTTATGGGTGAAAACATACAAGGTTAACCTTGATTGGGATGTGAATTGTTACCCTTTTGTGTTTAGTGTTATTGATCCATATTATTTGAACTTTGAAGTGAAGCTTTTGAAAATCCAAAATGGTGAGTTGTTGATGGATTGGTATTCAAGAGGATTGTTTGCATATGTTTTACCTCGGGGTACCATCAGAAAAATTGATAAAGCAAGGATGAAGAGGCCTGGGTGGCTGCAATGCAATTGAATATTATCAAATATTCTCGCGGAGCAAGGATGAAGAGGACTGGGTGGCTGCAATGCAATTGAATATTATCAAATATTCTCGCGGAGCAAGGATGAAGAGGACTGGGTGGCTGCAATGCAATTGAATATTATCAAATATTCTCGCGGAGCAAGGATGAAGAGGACTGGGTGGCTGCAATGCAATTGAATATTATCAAATATTCTCGCGGAGCAAGGATGAAGAGGACTGGGTGGCTGCAATGCAATTGAATATTATCAAATATTCTCGCGGAGCAAGGATGAAGAGGGTGTGCAAGTGCAAGGCACAACATCCATTTTTTTTTTCTTTTTTTTATTTGATTAAAATCATTTATATATGATATTAATTATGTGTACCCACTAATTTATTTATAATCAATTTCTTTTATTTTTAAAAAAATTATAAATAAATTTCATTCAACTGTGTTTCAGTATTTTTTTTTTTTTTTTAAATGATAACAATTTGTTCAGTATAATACACTTGAATGGGGTTGGGTCAGTTTTTATATTTTTCAATATTTCACAAACACCAAAATTGAAATATAATGTAAGGAAATACTTTATGACTCATTTTTTGTTTTATTTTTTATAATTCAATGCCGTAGATTTAATGTGTATCTCATGATTATTGTATTTGTTGACATTTATAAAAAAAAAAAAAATCAAGAGCAAATTATACCAATAGTTTATGTATTTTAGTTTTTGTGTCATTTTAGTTTATGTCTTTCAATTAACTCGATTTTGACTATCTAAATTTGGTCTAATTGGATACAATTGTTAGCAATATTCTATAAAAATATATACAGTTTTTATATTTTTCAATATTTCACAAACACCAAAATTGAAATATAATGTAAGGAAATACTTTATGACACATTTTCTGTTTTATTTTTTGTAATTCATGGCCATAGATTTAATGTGTATCTCATGATTATTGTATTTGTTGACATTTATAAAAAAATCACGAGCAAATTATACCAGTAGTTTATGTACTTTAGTTTTTGTGTCATTTTAGTTTGTCATTCAATTAACACGATTTTGACTATCTAAATTTGGTCTATTTGGATACAATTGTTAGCATTATTCTATAAAAATATGTCATAAATTTAACACGATTATGTCATGTTTTTTGGGACAAAATTATAAATTTGATCAATTCAATGAAATAATTTCAATCAATTCAGCGATCATTTTTGGGGGAAAAAATCTTAATCAGTATGTTTGGTTTAAGTTTTCTGATAACTGAGTTTTCTTTTCGTATTTTTTAGTTTTTAGTTAATATTTTTTAAATTTTAATTAATTTTTTTACTTTTTTAGATGCACCTTGCTTAGATGTATCTAAATAGTAAAATATTTGTGAAAAAATATTTTTAAAAATTAATAAATACATAAAAATACGAAAAATGTATTGATTTTTTGCATTTTTTAGTATTTAGTGGATTTTTTAAATATTTTTTTCACAAATATTATACTTTTTAAGTGTATTTATGTTAGGCGTGTCTAAAAATTTTATAAAAAAAATTCATTGAAAATATTAAAATATGAAAAATAAAAAAGTATTAAAATACGAAAAGTAAACTATGGTCAAAGTAAAGGTAATTGAAAGTAAGATCAAAATGACACAAGGAATAAAATGTAAGGACTACTAATGTCTAACTTAGCCACTAAAAATACAATGAAACTTTTGACTATTAAAATATTTTGTTCCTTAAAAATATATTTTTTAAAATTTTTATCTCTAAAATTTTAATTTATTATAATGAGCTATAGTAGTTAGAGAATTTTTGTTAATTACTACAGAATTATGTCATTTTGGCTTTACAAGAGCATTTTTTAAGTCACACAAAACTAACTGATTTTAATTTCACAAGTGTCTAATAAAAACTCAACACAATAAAAATTAAAAATTAAAAATTAAAAAAAAAAATTACAGTGCACCTCTTGTCAGTGTTTGCCTTTTAACTAAGTCAACAGAAAATATAAAATGAATTTATTTCCCTTACCTAATTATCCTCAGTAACTACACCCCCTAATACTTGAGTCTTCTTCCCAAAGCTACAACTTACTATCGACTATTTCTCTCGTCATTCAAACAGTCCACCAAAACCCATCAAAACTCTACCACTTTTGCCTCACTGCCACCAAATCAGTACCCAATCTCCACCCCACAGCCATGCTCTTTTCCACAACCACCACCAAACTCATCAATGCCCATGATCATCAATTTTCATATCCACAACAATTTCAATTCCACCATTGATGGCCACTATTAACGGCAAGACGGTGGTGAGAGAGCCGTTGATGATGATTCACAGGCCATGGTAGTTGTAACAATCCCATTACGTAATACCTTATATTTAATTAATGAAACAGGTTCGACATTTGAAGGAGCCAAACTTGCCTCCCAAAAGGTGAGTGGCATGTCAATCAAGCATCAGATCTGTTTTGCATGCATGAAAACATGCTCTGTTAAAAGTTATTATACAACTTAATTTTGCTGGATCCATGTCTAGGTGTCTTTTTTCTAGGGAAACAGAACTCTCCGCAGGTAACTCCTTTGCGAACGTTTTGGGTTACTTTGGCACTGTTGAAAAAGAAGATATTGCTTGTACTGGGCAAGAAAGTGGTGTCCTGAATGAGTTACTCGGAACTGAATCTTTGAGGAATGAATTAATTGGTTTAAGAACTGAAACTTTGAGGAATGAGTTGACAAAAACTGAATGTTTGAATAATGAGTTGATGAAAACAGAATCCTTGAAGAATGAGTCAAGCAACACGTCAGACAATTTTCATTGTTTGCAGTTGCAAAATGGGATGCATCTACCTTTCAGTTTGAGTGTTGAGCAGGTTCAACAGTTTTCATGGATTCAGAATGATAATAATCAACATATGGCATCACCAAAGGAATCAAATCTGTTTGCCAGAAGGTGAGTGGTACTGTCATCAAGCTTTAAATCTTTAATGCATGCATGAAAACATGCTCTTTTAGAAGTCATTATACAACTTTATTTTGCTGGATCCTTATCTAGAATGAAAACTATTGTTTTATGTAGCAGTAAAAGAACAAGAAGATATGTCTTTGAATATTTTGTTCCCAACAAGTTGTAATATATTGTCTTTCCTCTGGGGAAACCGAGTTTTTGGCAGGTAACTCCTTTGGGAACTATTCTGGGTTCTTTGGTACCACCGAAAAGCCAGACATTGCTAGCATTGGGCAAGCAAGTGGTGTCCTGAACGAGTTACTCAGAACCGAATCTTTGATGAATGAGTTGATTGGTTTAAAAAGTGAAACTTCAAGGAATAATTTGACACAGAATGAATCTTTGAGGAATGATTTGATAAAAACAGAATCCTTGAGTAACAAGCTAATAAAATCCGAGTTTTTGACCAATGAGTTGATAAAAACTGAACATTTGATGAATGAGTTGATAAAAACCGAATCCTTGAGGAAAGAGTTGATAAAAGCCGAACCCATGAGAAATGAATTGATGAACAGCAAATCCTTGAGGAACGAGTTGATCAATACCAAATCTTTGAGGCTACAGCTGTATGGGCAAGACTCTTACCCATCATTCAATTTCAGTATTCTACCTGATAATAAATTCCAACCAGCACAACAAACGAACTTGCAACAAAGTATTGACGATTATTGTGCTGAAGGAAACTTTGAACAGCCTCAATCTGGGTATGATTCCATGCATTGTAATTGTGCTTCTACGTCCGGGCCTTCCAGCATTGCTACTTTTGATGAGTATTTATGCCCCCAGGCAAGTTTGTCTTCCATTTGATTCCAATTTAAGTTACTTCTATCCACTCATCATTGGATATGCACAGCAAGTCATTTTTCCACCAAAATGAAACACCATTATGCAATCCCCACCTTCTCTCCCATATTAAGCAGGAGTTGACCTAATTCTTGCTATAATCACACCACATCTTTGGCTTCTTATTTTCTCAATGTTTTGCTTCCAGAGCAAAACACTTGAGTTTAGCCTAGTGGCCAGAGCCTCTGTATCTCACAAAAACCAACATAATAACATCTTAATCCTAATTAAAAACACAAAGCACAAGCAAGTGATGGCCAGCCTCCACCGTTTGAGAATGTATGATAAACAAAACCATTAACATTTAAATTATACATGCAAAATGTACAACAAATCAGCTTGTAAAATCAAAGCAACAACAAATTAAAGTGAATTGTGAGTAAAATTACAAAGCTGAATCTCTAAATCACAGAGCTGAACTGACAGAGATAACTAGGGTTTAGACAGCACAGAGAGCGAGAGAGAGAAAGGGGGAGAGAGAGAGAGTAGCTCACCGATCTGAATCGATTTTGAGAGAGAACTTCGAAATGGCTCGGATGAATCACCGATCTGAATCGATTTTGAGCGAGAACTTCGAACAGTGCAGAGAGGGCGAGAGAGACGGAGAGAGAGAGACCACGAAAGTAAGAGTGAGAGTGAGAGCGCGAGAGTGAGATTGAGATTTTCGCTTATACTGCTTATCATATTCAAAATAAAGGTGAAACAGGAGAGAAGGAGGGGGTCGAACAAAAAACCATTCCAAGGCGTTTAAAAAACGTCTTTGATTCTTGAAACGGCGTCGTTTCAATTACAGAAAAACAAGACGTTTCTAAAACGCCGTTAAATATTAGAAACAATGGCGTTTTGAAAAACGCCGTTAAAAAAACGCCGCCTAACCCCATATTTCCTGTAGTGAGAGGTGGAGACATGTCGATGTTCCATCTACTCCATGATCAGATACAATGATACGATATGATACGTTTGGACCGAAAGTCGTTTTGATATATGATTGGGCCCGGGCCGTTTTGTTATACATGGACCCGAGGTCGTTTAGAACATATGATATGAATGCAAAGGTTTTAACATCGCTATATGACTCATGTTATGATGTGTTATTTTATCTGCATGAATGGATGTCCTATTTTAAAATGTGCTTCTAACCTTTTGTATAAGTGGGCGTACCACGTACCACGTAAGTTCAATTATATATTCCATTCGAAAGGGTATGGATTATGATACGATAACTGTTTGTATTGAAAAGATTTA